GCCCGCGGCCCCGGCGCGATCGAACCTGAGGGGATGGGGGAAGGACGCCGGCGGGGGGCGGGGAGGGGGCGGAGACGAGGGAAGTCGCCGCGGCAACGGCGTCAGCGCGTGTCACGGCCGTGACGTCACCGGCGGTGCGTGACGTCATCGCGGGCGCGCCGTTGTGGGGCGGCTCCTCCACTCTCCGCCCTCGCGCTCGGGCTTCCTCCGCTCTCGGTTCCCATGGCTGCGGCTTCCGTCTGCATCCCATCGCCTCCGCCCGCAGCCCGCTCTGGAATGTGAGGGACAGCAGGAGAGGAGAGCTGGCGTTGCAGCAGACGTTCAAGTTCTAGGAGGAAGAAGCCGGGAAGGCCCCTACTACTGGAATTATTTCCATTACAACGGAAAGAAGGCTCCGGGTTATAAAAATAAGATTGTAAAGCCCGAGGTTGAATCAGCCGACCAGAATTTGATAGAAATATATTTAGGAACAACTAAATAATCAGTATGGCGCTTATACCCTTTTGATGAAAGGATTGGACCAATTAGGTGGGGCTAAATGAAGTCTAAAAGCTTTTTTTTTTTCATCTTTGAGGAATAAAATTTTTTCCTTTGGTCTAATTTTCATTTTCCAGGTTCGTTCATTTAACAATTATCAGTTGAGCACTTTCCATGTGCTAGGGCCTGTGAGACATGCAGACATTTGAAGCATCAAAGCTTTAATCGTTTTTATTTTCAAGAAAATCATTCAAAGTATTTTATGTGCTTTTGTGCCTGTTAGGAACAGACTATACGAAGTAAGGCATTCTCTGTGCAAATTATTATGAAAACATCTGGGAGGACAGAGGTAAAATTCCTTTGAAAAGCCCGGCTAGAGAATGGAATTAGTTAGATCCAATTCATTACTAAAAGTGCATTTATTAAAAAGGAAGGGAGAACATCAGCGTTTATTGCAGCCTTATTTACAAGAGCCAAAAGGTGGAAACAACCCAAGTGTCTATCAACAGATGAATGGGTAAACAAAATGCCGTATATCCGTATAATAGTATGTTAGTCAGCCATAAAGAGAAATGAAGTCCTGATACATGCTATGACATGGATGAACCTTGAAAAAAACATGCTGAATGAAAAAAGTCAAACGCAAAAGGACAAATATTGCATGGTCCCCCTTACATAAAATAGCTTGTTGTTAGGTGCCGTTAAGTAGGTGTTCTCACCCATAGCGACCCTATGTGCAACAGAAGGAAACATTGCTTGGTCTTGTGCCATCCTCACAATTGCTGTGCTTGAGCCCATAGCTAGAGCAGGCAAATGCATAGACACCAAAATAGGTTCGTGGATACCAGGGGATGGGGGAGGGGAACGGGCAGGTATTGCATAATGGCTACCGAGGGGATGGTGAAAAAGGTTGGGAAATAGACGGTGGTTGCACAACACAGTGAAGGTAACTAATGTCATTGAACTGTACACTAAAACAATTAAAATGGCTAATTTCATGTATTACATATTTTACCACAATAATTTTTTTTAAAAAAGAAAGGAAGACTAATAATTCAAAAAAATGTTTTAAGAAAGGGAGAAACAAGAGTGAGAAACAGTAGAAGTTACTGTGGGCTCCCGATGGTGTGCAATTGATCAGTGAAGTAGCCTAAGCATGTAACTGAAGATGTCAAGAGAAGCTTGAGTAAACTCTGCCTTTTTGTACTTTTTGTGAGAGGGGAGATACCAGTGACCTCCTTGTTTGTATTCAAGATGACTGAGGAGATAGAAAACCAACCCGTTTGACTTCTGAAGCTGGATATCTGCATATCGATAGGGTCACCATGAAGCCAGGAGCTGATCCTTACATCTGGGGTGAGGCTGATTGATTAACCAGAATACAACTATTCCTCTACATTGAAAAATAGTTGTTCTTAGTTGCTGTTGAGTCGGCTCTAACTCATGGCAACCTCATGTACAAGGGAGCAAATCATTGCTCAGTCCTGCATCATCTTCAAGATCACTGGCATGCTCCAGTCCATAGTTGTGGTAACTGTGTATTTGAGCGCCTTCCAACCTAGAGGACTCATCTTCCAGCACTATATTGGACAATCTTCTGTTGTGATCCATAGGGTTTTTATTGGCTGATTTTCATAAGTCAATCACCAGGCCTTTCTTCCTAGTCTGTCTTACTTTGGAAACTCTGCTGAAACCTGTCCACCATGGGTGACTCTGCTGGTATTGGCATAGCTTCCAGCATCATAGCAACATGCAAGCCACCACAGTCGGGAGACAGACGGGTGGTAATTACCTGCAGTGATGACTCCTAGATCTGTGTAACAGTCTAGACATCTCCACCTGGACTCAACCTTCAGTATCCAACTACTATACTAGGTGCCCACACCTGAATATCACAGACATGACAACTTGACATGTGCCAGCCAAGCTCTGCAAGCCCCACTGTTGGTCCAACAGCTGCTCATCCTGGATTTTTTCTGTCACTTGGTGGCACCTCGTTCTTTGTTTGTTTTGTTTTTTTATTGTTGTCAAGATTGGTGCCACCACCTTTTGACTTCCTTATTTAAAGATAAATACTAATTCTATATTCTCTGTCACAAATGAAACAAAAATCTTTGCGTTGATCCCTGTCATCTTTTTTAGTGATTGAATTCAGCAGCTTCTGAAGTTTTGCAACAACAGATTGGTAAACGGACATACATATCTCTTCACCTTCCCATCTTTTCCATATTAGGTGTCGTCCTCTGAAGGAAAAATCTGGATTTTTCCCCTTTTAAAACTCTTTGATTGATTTGTTTGTTTGCTACTTCTTTCACTGTCTTTTTTCCTTTCGGATCTGAAATTCTAATTTCAGCATCTGCCATGACCTGATCAACGTCTCTTTGCTTTTATTTTAATGACTCAATTTTAGATCACATAAATCCACTGTTAATTTAACATTTTTATAAACATATCCACTTAGATTACTAGAGTATGTGTTGATCACAATTTATATATTTTATATATTAGAGTAACATGATAGCGTTGGGGGCCAATTATCCTAATTATTCAGGCTTTTTATCATATATGAATGGAGCCCTGGTGGTGCAGTGGTTAACAGCTCGCCTGCTGACTGAAAGATTGGTGGTTTGAATCCACCAGCCACTCTGTGGGAGAAAGATGTGGCAGTCTGCTCCCACAAAGATTTACAGCCTTGGAAATCCTGTGGGGCAGTTCTACTCTGACCTATAGGGTCCCTAGGAGTTAGAATTGACTCAACAGCAATGGGTTTGGTTTTTTGGTTTATTATTGACACAGCGGCTGCAAGAATGGGCTCAAACATAGCAACAATTGTGTGGATGGCACAGAACCAGGCAGTGTTTCGTTCTGTTGCACAAAGGGTTGCTATGAGTCAGAACCAACTCGACAGCACCTAACAAGGACAACAACATATGTATCTATTAGCGTGTCTCTCCCGCTATTCAGAAGGGGTGTGGTTTTGCAGGTGGCACTTTTCACATAAGAACTTCTTTTGCAAGAATATAAACTCATCCTCCCAGATTTCATATGGGACAATCATTCATTCTCTAAGAAAGGTTATTAACTGCTAAAATAGGGAAAGCAGTTAGGTGTTGGGAAATTAAGGAGCCAGGAACACTGGGACTTTAACAAGAAGACAGAGTATTCTATCATTTTTGTATTTCATATTACTGAATACATGTGGTTATTCTGGATGAGACTGGGCCCAAAGACTGTGAAATGGTGAAGAGAAGATAAGGCCCACGTTATCATTTAGAAGCTATCAGCAAGAAGCTGTGGTGGTGGCAGCCATCCAGGCTGGCTCAACCGGAAGCAGAACGTTCCCTCTGCTGGTTTACAGGGTCTTGATAAGTGCAGACAGCAACTTCATGACATTACACGTTCTTTAATATAGAGATCAAGGTCAAAACTCCCAAACCTATATGGAAGAGCACAAAGAGAGGGCTCTACCTGAAAATGAACAAGCTAAAGGTAAAGCCGACATAATAAAGTAGGGTAAGTCTCTTGCTTCAATAACTGACGTGGCTAAGCATCCAAGCATCTGAGGGGAGGATCATCTGCCTTCTTAACTCGCTTACTTTTACTGTCTGAAGACGTCTGTTTATTCCCCTCATAACTGACATGCCTGTTACCAGGTGTTTGTGAAATATTGTGGACAATGTGGAACTAGAACGATTACTTCCAGACCATTACAACCTGTCCTTGAAATCTGACCTTGCTGGACGCCGGAACTTTGCAGAATGATGGGAGTTGTTGTAAAGCTACTTTTCTTTTCTCTGTCCCTGAAGACTTATTTCATTGTCAGGTTTTCAGCATAGAGGTAACTGCACATCTTTGGATGTGATTTATTTAATTACTCTCCACGGGAAAATAGATCATAAGAAAGTAGTTTTGGAGATATTAAATATGCTTGGTAACCTAAAGATTTTTTTAAATTAAAAGTTATAAACCATTATCTGTTTCAAGAACAGGCCTAGATATAAAACAAGTACCCAACTCTCCCCCACTCCAAATAAATAAACTAACAAAGTCACCATTAAAATAACCCTGGATAGTAAGTGTTCTGGCTTAGATGTCTGCTTCCTTGTCTTCTTTGGCTGAGGTGGAAAGGGAATACGGAGATGTTTGTGTATTATGTATTAAAACAGACTAAACTAAAACGGCTGCTTATTTCTGCGCTAAGACAGAGCCTTTTGTTGGTGGGGGCACCATGTTGAGAACGAATGGAGAGGAGAAGCTAATGGGACACTTTGGGGAGAGACCCTGTGAGGTCTGGGTTTGAGTACCCGTGAAGCAAAGTGTTGTAGGTTTAGGGAGATAGCCTTTGCCCCGCACCTGCATGGAAGCCACC